CTGTCCACAGGCAGCCCCTGCTTCCACGAGGAGGGTGTGCAAGCTGCTGCCGCTGCGCGACCCTCTCACTTGTGTGTGACCCCAGCGTCTTCTGTCCACAGGCAGCCCCTGCTTCCACGAGGAGGGCCAGTTGCGCGGGGTGTGCAAGCTGCTGCCGTACTGCTCGTGGGCCGTGAAGGAGCGGCGCTCCGGCCTGTACCCGCAGACGTGCTCCTTCGACGGCTACATGCCCGTGGTGTGCTGCCCGTACACGCGCACGCACGACCCCCCGCACCTGCCGCTGCGTCCGCACCGGCCCTTCGTGCCGCCGGACATGCCCGCCCTCATGGCCGGGATGACGCTGCCGCCGGCCCCCGGGGCGCTGGAGATGCCCCCGTCGTCGACGCCGTCGACACAGCCCGAGCAGGAGAAGGAGGGAGAGCAGCAGGAGGAGGAGCAGCAGGAGCAGCAGACGTCCGGCCCGGTGCAGCTCCAGGCGGGCGTGCCCGGCGTCCTGGGCCCGCTCGAGTCCTGGCCAGTGCCGCCGATCCCGAGCGAGCCGGACCACCTGAAGGAGGAGGTGGACGCCGTGAGCGCGCTGGACAGGCTCGGCACCGGCACCAGCGCCAGCACCGTCACGCCCCAGAGCCAAGGCACCGAGAGCAGCATCCAGCTCGGTGACGGGTCGGCGGCCTTCGCCCACGGCCGGTAGCGCAGCAGTGCGGCGGCCGGGCGGCCGACCCCGCGGGCGCGGCCGGGCCGGCTAGTGGCGTAGGTCGGGTCCCCGTCCCGGCCACGCGTTGTGCACAGACTGACTCCACGCGACGCGGAGGAGAACGCCATCGGAACCATCACTGCCATAGATGATTATATTTACTGAACAAATAAGGACATCTCACAAGTTATGCAGTAACTCATATATTTTTAAAAACCTTGCAACACCTGGATATGCACCACCACTTGAATAGTGTATTTCGACTAACGGAGGAAGAAGAATAGCGGGTAGAACGCAAAGGTTCCTGATTGGCGGAGCGCCTAACCCCTCTACCGGCGTGACGTAGAGGCGGGAAACTCTCGACCAATCGGTAACGTTGATGTTCTACCGGCTGTTCTTCTTCCTTCAATAGTCGAAATACACTATAGGCAGGCGAACAAGATGCCGCACCTCCGCCTCTCCGCCTCCAGGCGCGGCGGCGGCGCGCCCAAATGCCCGCGCCGTATTTGTACGGGTGCTCCCCCC